ACTCAACTGGTATTTATTTTTTATGTAATGTTATTGATATGTGTTATGACAAATCTACATGTGACATGTCACAGATATTATTGTTGCATGTTTTTAGACACAAATAGTAACATAAGTTGGTATAACAAACACTATACTTATAATGCGTGTTGTGACATAGCGTAGTTGCAAATTATACAAATACGCTACTCGAGCATCCAGAATTATTGGTGATCCACGTTCGGATTAATACCAGCTGCTGAATTTCACCAACGCAGTACCCGACAGAAACTAAAATATCCATCCAGATCATCTGAATGACGATAGCCCACCGTGCGTTTTTTCAGAAACTTTTTGGCACGCACAACCACATTGTGAAATCATCTTCCAGCAATTGTATTCCGAACCGACATAATAATGAAACCTTCAAGAAAAAAAAGAGATGTACCAAATGCAGTCGAATATTCAGTATTCGGTTTACGGAGAAAACACTGTTCTCGGATTCTCAAATAGAATTCCTATTTGAGAATCCGAATTCGTGGAGAATCCGTATTCTATAACTTATATATGAGGTACTAGCTAGATGGAAACACAACTATTACGCTGTAAATATAACTAATAGCAAAATACATAAACAGACAGCAGTTGTGTGTAAGTATAATATTTGTGTATATATGTTAAATATTTTATTGACCAAAACTGTGTTCGCACGGGTGTAAATGTAGCAAGTAAATGTGTCGAACCCACAACTATCGGAAAGTGAGAGAGTTCAATCTCTACACCAGATGGTTGTTATATCATTTTGACTATAGAGTATCGTAGCCTAATGATAGACTTGTGAATTTTAAACCTAAGAGATCATTAGTTCAACTTTGGGCAAAAAAAAAAGAAATGGGACAAAAACTTCGTGCGTGAAACGCCGATTTCAAACCAAAAACTAATTCGAGTGACAGAGGATTTTTTTTTAATAAATGATAATGGTATGGTGAACCAGTCTGCTGGAGGGTATTGTTAGTAATGTGGACTGTTAACCCTTTTGCTATTAATGTAACAGCAACAATGTCAGATTGACCTCCACGCGCTTCCACTATTTTTGTTAACATGTAGAAAGTCTTCAAAACACAGTCACTCCGCCCAAGCAATAACGGGGTGGTATGTGGGATTTTTCCCTACTAAAACTATATGTTGTACCTGCAAGACCCTATGTTGGAGCTGGGAGTTTCGCATGTGCATTCCACTCCAGCTCGGTTCGGTGTTGTAGGGCAGGCGTCATCCCACTGAGTTTTTTTTGTGGATGATTATGGAATGGTGTCTTCAATACACCGTCACTCCGCCCAAGTAATGACGGGGTGGTATGTGGGATTTTTCCCTACTAAAACTATATGTTGTACCTGCAAGACCCTATGTTGGAGCTGGGGGTTCCGCATGTGGATTCCACTCCAGCTCGGCTCGGTGTTGTAGGGCAGGTGTCATCACACTGAGTTTTTTTTGTGGATGATTATGGAATGCTGCACCCGCCTGCACTAACGGTTTACACTGACGGAGCACCAATGGAGGATATTAAGTTGAACATGAGGTCAAGTCAGTTAGCCCAACGTGACAAATTCACTATGATTTTATCACGATGGTTTCCAGGTCGCCTAACATGGTACATTGCTAGCAATGGGATATAGCATGGGAGTTACTAGTTCCCATTACCAACAATCCCTCTCGCTGAGGTTAGGGCGACCTATTTCGCCCCACTCTATTGTGGAGGCGTGTGGGTACACGTGTACACCTCCGGGGCACGCGCTTCCACTTGGAAACCATCATGATAAATTCCTGGTGAAATCACCACGATGGACTAACTGATCTGATCTTAGATTACCATCTCATATTCTATCTTCCTCCACTAATGCCTAACCAGTGGATACTGTTAGCGCAGGCGGATTCCAATCCATTATCGCGCAATAAAAAAACCAACTTTGTGCTAATTCAATCTCGGTAAGATTGACAGGGATGTATAGATAAACAAATTACAGATCTCTATAATTTTACTACAACTACAATAATAGTGGACTCTTAATAACTGTACGCAATTAACTGGTTCTTACCACGTTTATTTAATTTGAACTCAATGACCGTATATTATACCTAAATGTGAGGAAACCCACGAAGGAAACCGCAACAATGTAATAAATACGTAATTAATTATCTGTACATAAAGCTGTGTAAGAAAAACTATTAATAATTATTATATATCGGACAATCACGTAGCGCAATAATAGTTGTTATTCTTTCAAGCAAAAACTACTGAACGGATTTTGATGTAACTTTACAGTAATATAGCTTATACATTAGAATAACATATAAGCTATAAATTTCATGCAGGAGAAGCCGCGGGCACAACTAGTTATCATTATTAATAATAATAATTTATTATTCCATTTTCATAGGATCGAAATTAGTTACCACAAACCAACTTGGAGTCATCCTACCACACGATTGACCCGGCTTCCTCACATTGAAACATGTAAACCTAAATTCTTTGGTGTCTAAATATAAAACGTTATGTAACGTTAGTTCTTTTGTAAATAATGACAAAATTACTTTTAACATCTTCTAAACACAAAGATATGGTTGTTAACTAGTATTTTAGTTGACAAGTAAACATTTGTCATTAACGCCTTCGATTCGATCATTACAAAAAAAAAGTAATAAAAAAGGAGGCGTAAGTTTGAATTTGCAAATTTAGTCAATAGCGAAAATATATTCAGAAAAATAAATATAAATTTTATTTTAATAATCCATACTAATATTAGAAAAGCGTAAGTGTGTTTATCTGTATTTTTGCTACCTTTTTACGACTAAATAGTTGAATGGATCTAAAAGACTCACAATAGATAGATATATCACTAGGTCAAAGGTTTTTTCTCATCTGAACAAAACGATACGAAGTTGCGCGTAACAGTTACTTACAAATAAATTTTAAAAGAAACTTATAAATTAAGTAAACAATTAAGTATTGTTTATATATTTTACACTGCAAATTTCTTTGATTCAAAGTTTACTTCTAAAATTACAATTGTAATTTATGTATCTGTAGTCACAACTCCAGATATGTACATAAATTACAATATTTTTTTAGCACGTTATTCTACAATTTACTTCCATTTGCTTCGAGAATATGGACTTAAATCGTAAAGCACATAAATGTTTAATGATATGCAATACTTTATGCCTTTTCTTATAATTTTATAAATTTTACACTTTCAATGTATTTTTATCGTGTTTCAAATAAACATTACTCATTACATTGTTCGTTAAGAAATTTAGTCTTTATAATTTAAATTTTATTTTATTTATGACAATAATAGTTTCATTCTATAATAGATTTTTTTTTTAATTAATGTTTTTAAAACGTATTTCGACTTACACCGTTTTTCTGCAGTATCCAGATAAAAAAATTTTTATTCGTCTGTCTATAAGGTAAGTACAGAGTATTAACAAATTCCAATAATGTTATTGATAATTCCATACACATATACAGCTATCGAAGCTATAGGTATAGAATAACCTGTTTAGAAGTACGCGAATTAATTCTTCAAATATTTATTTTCATTGTATAAGTTCTTTAAATGATAAACAAACAGACTGACCACCTGACTACCATACAATGATAACCGTGATAATATATCTTTAAGGCTATAAACAAGAATGGGATATACAGAGGTAATTATTACAATCGAAGTACGTAACACTTGAAATTTTTTATCACGCGAATGTACACAGTCTCTTGAATTTATTTGGTTTGTTAACTGCATTGCCATTACCGGAGATTCAGTCACAAGTATGGATTAATAAACATATGCTGTTTGTCATATTCTCCCTAATTGAATTTAAAATTGAATCTAAATTTTTGTAATCACGTACAAGCTCATTTGAAATGAAAAAGAGCTGAGTTTCTTGTCAGTTCTTCTTAGCTCGACAGCATCCCTAACTGACGGTAGATTTGACATATCATAAGAATCTGTAATAGACCTACAGGAATAGAAGTGAGCAAATGGTATCTTCCCGCTGTAATATGCAAATTTTCTTTCATATCTTACTATTAAAACCTAATATATTCTACAAATCTAATAACCTAATGGGATTATTACTAACTAGCTTTTGCCCGCGGCTTCGCTCGCGTTAATTTATCCCCTTAGGGGTGGAATTTATCAAAATCTAAGTGTACTAATACAGGCCGCCATAGGCAATTTTTAGTATGCCTATTTGATAAGGGTCGTATCCATATATCCTTACTAATATTATAAATGAGAGAGTAACTCTGTCTGTCTGTCTGTCTCGCTTTCACGTCAAAACTACTGAACCAATATAAATGAAATTTGGTACACAAATAGTCTAAATTCTGAGAAAGGACATAGGCTACTCCGTGAAGCGAAAAAAGGATTGTAAGGGGTTGAAAGAGGAGATGAAAGATTATATGGAAGAATCGTCATTTTTAGAAGCATGAAATTTATTTTTTGTGCTGTTGATTAAATATAAGTAATTATGACATTCAAAGTTTGTAAAAGTTTAACCCTTAAATTACCCTAAAATAAAAAAGGGGATGAAAATTTGTTTGAAAATTCATCATTTTTGTAGCTAGAACGTTGACACTTTTTTTTTAAATACGATATAATTTTGTCCAAGATGTCTACTTCACGCGAACGAAGTCGCGGGCACAGCTAGTAATTTATATGGCAAAATATTTACCAGGTCAGCTAGTAATATCATTAAACTTACGTTGTAACCCTTTAAAACACTGGTATGTGTTTTAAATACGTTAACGTTGAATTCTCACTTTACGTGTTATATTTCCATGAACTCATCACAAAAGTGACCCCGCCGGCCACGAGACGGCCACTGCAATACTTGTTTAAGTATCGACATTCAATCAATCATTTGTATATAGGTGACACGCCAAAGGTGTTGTACTCGTTCAGTGACCATAAATATAAATTAATATATATAAATAAAACAATAATAAATATATAAAATTGTTTATATAAGAATAGAACATTTATTTATTGTTTATTACCGTTAAATTGTCCGTTATTAAAATGGAATACCAAAATATTTCGATTAAAAGTGCCGTCGGAAATTTATTGGATTTCAAATCGAAAGGTGAGTGAGGAATTTAATTTCTAACAAATTTACAATTAAATAGTTAAATTGTAATTATAATGTAATATATATCTAAGTTTTATCAGTAGTCTAGTAGCTATTACACTAGCACTTATTATTTGTGTGAATTGTCTAAGTAAAATCTTTACATAGTATAAAATTAAGTCACTACATATTTTAAACTACAAAACGGATTTTAAAGCAGTTTTTAGCAGTAGATAGAGTGATTCAAGACGAATATTTATATATGTAATAAATGTACAAACAAAGCCGGGGCGGGTAGTAAGTATAATAATAATTTAAATTTCGATTATTGGCGAGAATACCATATTGGAATTCTAAGAAAACGTGTTAGGTATGTTAATCATAGACTAGATATATAATTATATATAACAGTCATGCACAGGTAATCATATATATCGGCAAATGATTAACTATAATAATTTAGTGGAACGTGATCTGCGAAGGAATAATGTTACATATAAAAACATCTATTGTGCATATTTTGTTGTCGATGCTTTGGTGCATGTGATTTGTCCAAAACTATGTGAAATGACGTAATATTGCAACCTCATATTTTAATGTATAGTTTAACATATATTTATACAGTTTATTTATATCAAATATTTGGCTGTAAAATGACTTAAATTTCCTTTTTTTATCATTTTTTTTCACATATAGTTTAACATATATTGTTATAGTTTATTTAAATCAAGTACGTGAAATTACTTAATTTATTTTCTCATTTTATTTTCACATATATAATTTGAGTTTGATATATATATATATATATTTATTTGTTATTTATATCTACTTTGTTTTCATAAAAAAAATGTTAAAAATATAATTCTGAACAACATTGAATTAAAAGAGCAACACGTAAGTTTGCTCATTGTGAAACTGTTTGTATCCCAAATAAAATAAATAAATAAAATCTTCTTGAGATTACTTTACTATCCGAATGAGTGGTAGAATAAAAAATATATGACTATTCGAAGTACCTGTATTAAGTTTATTGACGATTATTTCTATTTCTATCGGTATATTTACTGTAAAATTTTAGAATAAAATCTATACGTATAAATAAAATTGGAGTGTCTGTTTAACTAGGTTTCATGTAGTACATGCATATGAATATAAATACGGTACGTACACCAAAATAACATTTTTACAATTTCATCAGTCTGTCTGTCTGTTTGTTCCGGTTAAAGTCTGAAATTGCTAGACCGATTTTGACGGGACTTTTTTTGGCAGGTAGCTGATTTAATAGGGAGTAACGTAGGCTAATTTTATTTATAAAAAATTATTTTATTTTAGAAAAATAAAGATAAATTCCACGCGAACGAAGTCGCGGGTACAGCTAAATATCTTTTACACAATAAAATATCTTTTCTAACAATAACTTTTATTAGGTAGGTACGTCTATTTCTGTTGTCTATATTTACACTAATCTCTTATAGGATAGGCAGACCGAGCAGAGTTCCAATAATGATTTGAATTGTATGTCATCTTTACATTTTAATCTTAATCTAAATATATATAAATCAAAGGTGACTGACATAGTGATCTATTAATGCACAGCCCAAACCACTGGACGGATCGGGCTGAAATTTGGCAAGCAGGTAGATGTTACGACGTAGGCATCCGCTAAGAATGCATTTTGATTAATTCTACCCCCAATGGGGTAAAATAGGGGATGAAAGTTTGTATGAAACGTTGTAAATTTTAAACGGATCGGGCTGAGACTTCGCATACATAAAGCTACTATGACGTAAGCATCCCCTAAGGAAGGATTTTGATAAATTCCTACCTAAGAAGATAAAATAGGTGATGAAAGTTTGTATGAAAGTACTGTAAAGCCGTAAAAACTATACCTAAAAATAATACTTCTTAACGCGAGCGAAGCCGCGGGCAAAAGCTAGTAATATTATAAACGCGAAAGTTTGTCAATATGGATGTTTGTGACTCTTTCACGCAAAAACTACTCAACGGATTTTGATGAAACTTTACTTAAATACATTTTTTGCTTTGAAGTTTACAAATAAACATTACATTAAACAATTTTAATCAATAAATCCAAATGTTTGTGTCGTACAAGGAACAGAACTTACGACCATCGACTCAAGCGGTGTGCTATGCCATTAAGCCACCAACTGTGTCAAAATTATAATATCCGGGGATCAAACCCGTGTCTATTTGAAGGTAAAGTAGTGAGCCGATGCTCTAGACTAGAGGGGAAAGAGATTGTCAATAATGTGGACTTATGACCCCATTGCTGGGGGTGGGAAGGGGATTGTTAGGATGTAGGATTCAATTCTCCGCAAGTAGCCTCTCATCTGGGCCGTTGTGCGTGTAGAATAGAATAGAATAGAATATAATAGAATAGAATAGAATATAATATAATAGAATATAATAGAATAGAATAGAAAATCATTTATTAAAATAAACTTACATTGAAGCGCTTTTGAATAGTCATCACATTTTTTTTTAATCTACCGCTTATTCGGAACGCTTTTTGATCTCAAGAAGAACGAGCAAGAAACCTACGTGTTGCTCTTTTAAATAATTTTATTGTTACTTTACATTTTAAGTGTGTGAATACAAACTACCAATTCGCACTAATTCAATTAAATACTCAAATGGAATAAATATTAAATATATAACCTACTAGTTAAACAATAAGAGTAAATCAGTCATAGCGATTAGAGCATACCAGTCCCTACAAGCAGCACTTGTTCACGAGTATGACGGATGTGCCAGCCATCACTGCGCTCGACTATATTTAGGGAGCTTAATGACCCGATAGAGCCGAGACTACTAGAGTAGCCTGCTCCTCCCAAAAGCGCAGAGGTCTCCAGATGTCTTCACAGGCTTCACGGAGCGACCTCACCGTTCCGAGGTCGTTTGTTTTCGTTGTGTGGCCACTGGTACGCACTGCAGTATTACGTGGGCAGCCGTTTCTTCAGTTTTAAAGCAGCCCCGACAAAGGGGTGTCATTAACACCTATTGTGTAGTGTTTATTTAAGGGACAGTGGCCCGTTACAATAACATGAATGTAGTCAGGTTAATTTTTAATAATATTTTTTTTCTCTTAAATTTTTCAGAGGACTACGTTGACAAATGGTTTCTAATGGAATCTCCTATACCCATATTAGCGATATGGATAACCTATGTACTATTTGTTTTGAAAATTGGACCAGAAACTATGAAGAAACGCGAGGCATTCAGTTTGAGGAATGTGATTATATTATACAACACTTTACAAGTGGCTGTCTCTATATTCATCTTTAATATGGTACGTAATGCTTTTTTTCTATGGCTTCATAGGAGTTTCTATGATTTAGCAATTATCTCGGTTGAAACAGACACTGCTTGGTGAAAGATGAATACTTATATACTTTTTTTTATTAATAATAATAATAATAAATAACCCAGGACAATTAACATAGCGCCGTCTAGTCCCACGGTAAGCAGAGCTTATGTTATGGGTACTAGATAACTGATATAAATATTTTGATATTTTTTTGTAAAGACATACATAATATACACAGAAAACACCGACCGATAGAAACATGGCTAAAAATGTATGCATCTTGCGAGGAATCGAACCCGCTGTCATCGGAAATAAAACGGTGGGCTAAACTGCAAAACCATTAAGGTCGTCAATTTCTTTGAATAAATAAACACATGATAACTGTAAACTCAGATAGGGGTAGTTAGAGACTAGAAGAAATATATTTAATTTCGTTTACTGTTTCAGTCTTATAAAGGAAACAAGTATTCATAAACAAATCCATATAATAAAATATGTATTAAAGTAAAAAAGAACCTTAATTTTCGATGGTCGCGAGTTCTATTCCTCGCTCGATACGAACATTTATATTCATGAGTATGATACGTCATTTGCATCTCTTCCGTGTACTATATATTGTGTATCTATTTATAAAAAAATATTTAAGTATTTATATCAGTTGTCTAGTACCCATAAAATAAGTTCTGTTTAGTTTGCGACTACATGGCGCTGTGTGAATTGTCTTGGCATAATATTATTATGTTTTAAGGCAATATCCTCAGGAGAGACAAATTTTATAAATACACACTATGCTTATAGCTAAATAGAAATAGGCAAGACAAATTCAACTTTTAGTCACTTTTGTACAAGATCTAATTTGGTTTTTTCAGGGTATGTCTTTACTGCATCCTGTTGGGTATGTGCACGTCACATGCGTCCGCGATGACGTCATGACGCGAAACGTGAGTATTCTAATTACAACAATAATTAACAAATCAGTTCCTTTTCGTACGACACCAATTAAATTATGGAATAACACTGCATTATGATCATTATAATTATGATCATTACGTCAACATTCTTTTGACAACTATTTTAGAAAAGTACTAGCAAACCCGACCACACGTTGCTGTGGCTAAGGTTCTTGAATAAAATAATATTGCGACTAAAAATTGAGATGTAAGCTATTCTGTATTTCAAGTTGGATCAAATTGCAAACAATGTGCAAATCAAATTTGCAATCAGTTCAGTAGTTTAGGAGTCCATCGCGGACAAACAACGTGACATGTAATTTTTTTATATAAAGATTGGTTAAGAGACGAAAATAGTATTCCTTGTATTTTTTTTTTGTTAATGATGATAATGGAATGGCGCAGCTGCCTGCGCTAACGGTATACGCTGACAGGGCACCAGTGGAGGATGACAAGATGAACATCAGATCAAGTTAGTTAGCCCATCGTGGTAAATTCGCTAGGGGGAACCGTGAGAGGTCAATCTGATATGATACTTTGCTAGCAATGGATTTATTAGTCCACATTACTAACAATCCCCATTGCCCTGCATTCCATGGATTCGCCGTGCGGATGCCGGGTCCTTTGTGTCACAGAGAGGTAAACTCCTAGCAGTTGACGGGACTTCTGACCCGGGTGTAGGTTTGAACCTCTTTGCCTTGAACACTTACCTTCACCGCTCGTGTTTCTCTATATGTCCAGACAAATCTGGTAGGAGCCTGCTAATGCAGCTTTAAGCGGGTGTCTTTACCGTCAAAACTTACCTTCACTGCTCGTCTTTCTCTCCCTGCCCAGCCAAATCTTATAGGAGCCTGCTAATCCAGCTTTAGATACACGTTCTAGTACAGAACTTATTGCATTTCTATACACGCCTAGATCTTTTAGAAGATTATAGAGATATTTCGCTGGTACACCTCTCGCTCCCACTTCGACCGCATAGCTATTTTTCGTTAATTCGTTTATTAGTTCGTAATATTTATATGTTTTTATTGCATGGTTTCTAGGTATATTTGTTCCTATAGTACAATAGCAACAAATTTAATGTATAGTACACGTTACAAGAGATGATGCCTATATCACACTGTATATAATACCTAGTTTAGGTCATCAGGGCTCTTACAATGACTTACTCAAATTTCTACCATGTACCTAGTTATGTTTCTATTATGTAATTTAATTGTTATAGTTTTCCCATTAAATGCTGCAATTTATTTGGTGTATAATAATAGTAATGCAATTTTTTTTGTTAATTTTCTCCTCGGCTTTCACCAGTATTTTTGCTATGTACGGACCTAAGTTAAGTTACTAATAATATTATGTTTTTATGTCAATATCTACTGTCTATGAATATAGCCTGATTATTTTAAAGGATTTTCTAACAATGCGGAAAATATGCGGGATATTTCTAATATATATTTTGTAATTCTGAATAGAAAATGTATTCATATTCATTCTATTAGATCTGCTCAATCCCATTGCATTTTCAAAAAACTAGTCAAATCTCACTTTCTCTCTAATTAAAAATCTTTCTTTAATGTTTTGTTTCGTCAGACATGTATTTTTTTTATATATTTTATTTATGTATGTGTATATTATTTATATATATATATATATATACTTTTAGTATTTGTATGTATATGTATTTAGTATTCATATTATATTTAACTCTCTTTTTTAGTGTGCCACCTACTTTTCCCTCAACAATACTTTTATCTCTGTCAGAGATCGCTTTGAGCGATAAGGCCGCCTTTTGTTCGCATATTTTTCTTTCTTTATTTTTTGTAATTATTTGTTATTTTTTTTATGCGCAATAAAGAGTTTTTATTATTATTATTATTATTCAGAATTACAGCCTTTTTATTATTATTATTATCATTCTTATAGTAGTAGTAGTTTAGTAGTAGATTAAAAATATGATAATAATAACAGTAATACTTTATTTGCCCTACCGATACTAATAACATTTGATAACGGTCATAAATTACAGATGTCCTAAACGAGTAAATGATAACCACTTTCGCTTCAACATTAATGGCAAATTTATAAACAATTTGGAAAGAACCAACAATTAACGATAATTAAATGTAGTTGATTAATATAAATCTATAACTAATGTATAAAGAGAGAGTGCATTTTGTTATGAAGGATGTAAACCCTGGAACTATTGCACAAATTTTATAGATTTTTAAACTATTTGAAGGGTATATTATTCCAGAGGCTGTAATATATATGTATATAATCTATACAAATTTACATATAGGCGTCTATTTGTAATTACAAATCTGCAGCTTTCACTACATTCCTGTGAAAGGATATACAGTATTTATATTAAAAAGTTTATTTTAACAGTTTTTGTCTGTAATGTAAGCTGCACTGATTTTGATGGGACTTTCACTCGCAGATAGCTAATGTTATAAGGAGCAACTATTTCATTATTTTTCTTATAAAAATTTCTCCGCCAACGAAATCGCGAGCTATGGTGTTTATATATACAAAACCCACAAGTCATGAGAGACCAGGGAAAGACGTGGGTCCCTATTCATATTAAAAGTGCCAAAGTATGGGGTATTTATTTGTTGACTTAGACTTAGTAAGATGTTCAAAACGTACATATCTATAATACAAGTGATTATCCAAAATTGCGCAGATTATCATTCTCTAGTACAATATTATCTTCTCTCTATTTTACTAAGTTAAAAACCCTATTTTTTTTACAGATTTCCTGGGGCATCTACTTGTACTTTTTGGCCAAATTGTCGGAACTCCTCGACACAGTTTTCTTCGTCCTCCGCAAGAAACAGAACCAAGTGTCATTCCTCCATATATACCACCACAGCATAATGCTGTGGTTGACCTGGCTTACTTTGAAATTTGAACCTACGTACAGCACAACCTTCTTGGGAACTTTGAATACATTTGTCCACATTATAATGTATACTTACTATGGATTGTCTGCATTTCCATCGATTGCGAAATTCTTGTGGTGGAAGAAATATATCACGTTATTGCAACTGGTATGTTTGTTTATGTATTTTATATACGTAACTGCATTGTTCATATATCGTCGATTAAATAGAAAATAGACATTTTTCAAAATTAGAAGCTAGAATTGCCTCCTTTTATATAAGTCAATTAAATTAACCACGCCGTCTTAATCATTATCTAAATACTTTTAAAATTATATATAATACTTCTGTGTAAATTTAAAACTTTAAAGGAAAAAATAATTTAAAACTTGTTTGCTTGTCTAAATGCTTGTCTTGTAAAAAATGTACATTTTGAATACTGCCATTTTTCTATTTAATCGACAATATGCTCACTATATCAGATAACAAGCTGATAGGAAGTAGGGTACCACTTAATTTCTGCGGACAGACGAATATGAAATTTCGTACACTTACAGTAATAATAAAATATAATAATAATCTCAGAACAATACACACAGCGCCATCTAGACCTAAGTAAAGCAAGCTAAAGCTTGTATAATGGGTACTAGATAACTGATAAAATACATAAATGTAGGTTTTTTTCGTAAATACACACATATTACACCCAGACTGATATAAACAATCATACTCATGAATACAAATATCGTGCCGTACGAGGAATCGAACCCGCGACCGAACATTGACGGCCTCAGTGAACCGCTAGATCACCGAGGCCGTCAATGTTAGATATATACTTATAGTTCATATAGAGAGAGAATGTACAACACTAATAATTTGTTGTGAATAACATGTATGTATCTTTTGTATATTCTTACAGTCTGTGGTCAAATTGAGAATAGATTAATACTGTCTTTAATGTTATTTGTCTATAGTCTTATTGAATTTTAATTAATTATAGTCAAATTTCGACCACTGTGCGACTACTCATGACCATCATCATCTGCTTCTTCCTTATCCCATTTATTTGGGGTCGGCGTAATATGTTTTTCTCATCCATTCGTCCCTGTTCGCAATTATCTCATTATTTACTCCCTTTCTTACCATATCATCTTTCACACAGTCCATTCATCTCTTTTTCGGTCTTCCTCTGCTATTATCAACATTAAAAATTCAAAATATATTCATGTAAATCAATCACAGACTCTTATGATATGTGAAATCTATCGTCAGTTCGGAATGATTTCGAGATGAGAAGAACTAACAAGAAACTCAGCTCGTATTCTTTTCAGATAAATATTGTACATACTTACAATAATACAGATACATTTTTAAATTCAAATTGGGGGGAATAGAATGACCACCAGCATATGCTATTGCAAAAGCAAATAGTTCCACCATTGGGCGACCATCATCATCATCTGCTTCTTCCTTATCCCATTTATTTGGGGTCGGCGTAATATGTTTTTCGCTTCCATTCATCCCTGTTCGCAGTCATCGCGTTATTTACTTCCTTTCTTACCATATCATCTTTCACACATTTCGCGACCATTACTATTAATAATATGTTGTTTTGTTTTCAGACACAATTCGTTTTGGTACTCATACATACACTGGCAAATTATGCGTTCACTGATTGTCCACCGTCATACATATTGCTATATGCAATATTAGGTAATGGTTTACTATTCATATACCTATTTGCAGACTTCTATATGAAATCGTATAAATCAAAGGATAATGAAATGAAGAAATCGAACAAAAGCATAAAAAATGGATTAGAAAAACAGGAAAATGGAGTTAGAAAAGAAAATTATTGTGTTAGAAACTGTACAAGTTGTGATGGAATTGCTAAGAAAACTCATTAGATTTTAAATAATTTGTTATTGTATAAGAATTAACGGGTTCATAAATTTTATATCTATGTAGATTATAATATAATTTCATTATACATATAGAAATCTTTAATAAATATTGTTATTAGTAATCTAACGTCTAAATAAAACTTTTAGATATTATTTTGTCTCTTTCAAACTCATGATTACGACGGCGTCGGTGGTCTAGCAGTTTAGCAGACTGCGCTTCTGATGGTCGCGTGTTCTATTCCTCATATGGTACAAACATTTGATTTCATGAGTATGATAGTTTGTATCTGTCTGGGTATTTTCTATGTATACTATCTATGTATTTACAAAAAAAATGTATATAATTATTTATATTAGTTATCTAGTACCCCTAACACAAACCTTGGGACTAAATGGCGCTGTGTGAATTGGACTAAGATGTAATATTAAAATTATATTTTGTCCGTCTTTATCCAACGAAACAATATTTATTAGTTTTTTTAGATGTTATTTTAAACCTATAAGTCATATTATTTTAATAAATAACATGACTTATAGGTTTAATAGCGACAAATACGTATGTATTTGACGCATAAATGTAAGTGATAATATTATGATAGATTTTTAATATAGATCTTGAACTATAATAGTTCGAAATAATTATTAAAGTTTCTTATACAAAAGCTAGTCTATTATTCAATTGTAAATTTAATACTGTATTTTGCAAATCAATAAATAGTGAAACAAAGACATTCTCAGCGTCTATCTGTGCCCTTGATTCTTCCTCTAAAATGTTGAATAAATTTTGATATACCTATAGATAGTTTCACTATTACATTAAACTAGCTGTGCCCGCGACTTCGTTCGCAAGGAATAGAGGACGAATGAGGAATTTCCATTTCATCCCCTTTTTTATTTTACTCCCTTAAGGGATATTCCCTTATTCGTACAAACTTTGAATGTCATATTGATAGTGAGAACCTTAAGAAATAAGTTTCAAGCAGCTAGCTTTAAAATGATGATACTTCCATAGAACGTTTCATCTCCCCTTTCTACCCCTTACAACCCTTTCGTCGCATTAAGAAGTAGCCTATGTTCTTTCTCAGGGTCTAGACTATCTGTATACCGAATTTTCTTTAAATCGGTGCAGTAGTTTTGGCAGGAAAGCGAGCCAGACAGACAGACAGAGTTACTTTCGCGTTTATAATAATAGTAAGGAAGTAAAGATATATCATATTTCACTACTGTATGTCACTTCTAAGAACTAGGACACGTGTTACAAAGTTACTTAGCTGCAGAATATGATACACAGGTATTCACGGAGATGACTTCATCTTACTCAATGTATATTCAAATTAATAGAAAATATTAGGTAAATTTAGCTTTTTATTTATTTTATTTAATTCAGGCTACATAGCCCATATTATAAATAGATTTAAACTAAAATACATAAGAAAGAATCATTGCATAGTATATGTAAAATAAAATCGATGTCGCTGACTGTCCCTAATTCCCTATATATGCTTAAATCTTTAAAACTATGCAACGGATTTTGAAGCGTTTTTTTTAAATAGATAGAGTGATTCTAGGGACGGTTTATATATGTAATATATGTACACCCGGGCGAAGCCGGGGAGAGTAGCTAGTAATAAAATATAAATTGAAATCGTCTCTATGGTCCATGTGGCACTAACACCAGCACACCACCGCCTTCGGCCAGTAATCCTCCTTCATGAAAGTGGGCAGCATGTTAGTGGGGAAGCGGGATTACTGTATAACAGTAATCTATTAACAATTCTAACCATACCTAACGGTAAATTAAAAAAATGTAATGACTATTCAAAAGTGCTTCAATGTAAGTTTATTTGAATAAATGATTTTCTATTTCTATTTCAATAGTGCCAGCTTGTCCCAAGCTAGGCAAAATTTATGTTATGGGTACTAGACAACTGATAGAAATATTTTAATACCCAGACCAATGTAGATAGTCATATTCCTGAATACAAATGTTTGTATTGTGCATGGAATCGAATCTGCGATCATCGGAATCAAGACAGAGTGCTAAACCGCTATACCACCGAGGCCGTGATATGTATGCAACCGACATTATTGCAATAATTGTACTGGATACGGATATATAACAATTAGTACTTAGGAATTTTGGCGCAATAGAGTATGCACCTTTTTTAAATAGAAGTTTTATACTAGTCTACTAGTCATGGACTATACTCGTAAGCGAGGATAGTGTGGGATTCTTACCCTTTATATTCTCCCGTTGTTTTCACTCACCGCGATTAGTCTCTGGTGGTACTTTCGCGCACAGCCGCAATTCTTCACTGCAGGTTGCTAATCCGTGGATGATCCCCATGGATGATAAAGCCCTCAAGTCTGGGTGGGAGAAGAGTTCAAATAACATAAAAAAATTGTTTGTGATAAACGATTTTGTCATGTTGATGTATTTTTTTAAGGTAAGCAAAACATAGTTATTGTTCATAGAAAAATATTAAATGTGACATCTCAATAATTGTTTACCCAATATGTATATAAGTCAAAGACGTCCAGGGTTGCCAACTTTCAAACATTTAGCTTCGTACGAAAAAAATATAAAATTAAAATATGTTATATTAATTTGATTTGGCCCTCTAATAATAGTAGGTACATAATATAGATGGTCTCGTCGGTCTAGCGATTAAGTACACCGCATTTCATCCGATGGTTGCAGGTTCTATTACCTCGTACGATACAAGAATATACAGGATTTATATTGATCTGCGTGTATATTTTGTAAGTATTCATAAAAAAAAATAACTTAACTTGGGTTTAAATAGAGCTTGTCCTGGATTATTATCTACGAAAATCGGTCAAATTATCGTACAATACCTATCGTCAAATCGTACACATCACTACGGTTGGCACTCCTAAGATGGCCTTGTTTTTTCAATCGACTATCGAAAGGATTTTCTCGGTTTATTTATTATATATATATATATTATTATGACTACTTGTGCGAAAAACAACAAAAAATTTACTAGTTAATCCAGGTTTTGTGCTGAAAAACAGCGTTGCAGCACTACAACCGCTGCAGCATTATGCTGAGCACGGACCTATTCGGTGGATGTTTTGACACACATTCACATACACGCACACGCACGTAATTTTGTAATGTTGTAAATGGTAAAGGGACATTTTTCTGTAATTGTTGCAATGTTTTGCGTTTTTTTTTCTTTAGTCTGTGTTTTATTTATTTTTTTAACATTCTCAGTTATTTTTCAAAGTGAAATAGAGAAGGATTATGAGGCCAGTGTCTAAAATGTAACATGTCACAGCGGACATAATATATATAAAACGACGGGTTATGAGCTCAGCGTCTAAAATGTAACATGTCACAGCAGACATAATACCTATAAAGACGGGTTATGAGCTCAGCGTCTAAAATGTAACATGTCACAGCGGACATATTATATATAACGACGGGTTATGAGCTCAGCATCTAAAATGTAACATGTCACATCGGACATATTATATATAACGACGGGTTATGAGCTCAGCGTCTAAAATGTAACATGTCACAGCGGACATAATACCTATAAAGACGGGTTATGAGCTCAGCGTCTAAAATGTAACATGTCACAGCGGACATAACACCTATAACGACGGGTTATGAGCTCAGTGTCTAAAATGTAACATGTCACAGCGGACATAATACCTATAACGACGGGTTATGAGCTCAGCGTCTAAAATGTAACATGTCACAGCGGACATAATACCTATAAAGACGGATTATGAGCTCAGCGTCTAAAATGTAACATGTCACAGCGGACATAATACCTATAACGACGGGTTATGAGCTCAGCGTCTAAAATGTAACATGTCACAGCGGACATAACACCTATAACGACGGGTTATGAGCTCAGCGTTTAAATGTAACATGTTACAGCGGACATATAATACATAACGACGGGTTATGAGCTCAGTGCCTAAAATGTAACATGTCATAGCGGACATAACACCTATAACGACGGGTTATGAGCTCAGCGTCTAAAATGTAACATATCACAGTGGACATAATACCTATAAAGACGGGTTATGAGCTCAGCGTCTAAAATGTAACATGTCACAGCGGACATAACACCTATAACGACGGGTTATGAGCTCAGCGTCTAAAATGTAACATGTCACAGCGGACATAACACCTATAACGACGGGTTATGAGCTCAGCGTCTAAAATGTAACATGTCACAGCGGACATAATACCTATAAAGACGGGTTATGAGCTCAGCGACTAAAATGTAACATGTCACTGCGGACATAACACCTATAACGACAGGTTATGAGCTCAGCGTCTAAAATGTAACATGTCACAGCGGACATAATACCTATAACGACGGGTTATGAGCTCAGTGTCTAAAATGTAACATGTCACAGCGGACATAACACCTATAACGACGGGTTATGAGCTCAGTGTCTAAACTGTAATATGTCACAGCGGACATAACACCTATAACGACGGGTTATGAGCTCAGTGTCTAAAATGTAACATGTCACAGCGGACATAACACCTATAACGACGGGTTATGAGCTCAGACTTTAAATGTAACATGTCACAGCGGACATATTATATATAACGACGGGTTATTAGGTCAGTGTCTAAAATGTAACATAACACCGATCACGTTAAAGCACATTGCCTAACCGTTTATGCCTAATCACTGTAATAACTCCTATATGGCTGTAATACACTACAATAACTGCATATAGCGTAAAAAATTTTTAATTTGGACATTGGACTCTATTTTAGGATATAGATATAGTTATATCTGCCTGTTATAAAAGCGACAGTCATTGCACGAAATCTATATAACACTATCAATCAATCAATGAGAAATATTCTATTCGATAATATTGTTTATATGTAAGTATTTTTACATTGCAATTTTTATCTGTATGGTCTTTACAAGATATTGTAAGCCTATTTAATGCCACAGTTACATCATTGTTTCCTACAATGTTTAAAGACAATTTTTAAATGACGGTAAGTTCTGAAATAATAAAGTA